ATTGATATATGATTTTTTCATAAATATGAATCCTCAGTAGACGTGTTTTTTTTATCAAAGGCAAGTGTCACTCGAACCATAACAGCAATTTATAAAATAACGAACATTTGAATGGCTCGAGTGACACTTGCCTTTGATAAAAAAACACGTCTACTGAGGATTCATATTAATGAAAAAATCATATATCAATGAAACAGTCATCGGTCGTCATTGAAAAGCAATGCAACTATGTTCTGTCAATCTAATTGACTTTTATTGGTTCTGTTGTCTTGTGAATTTTAGCTAAAACGGCCTCTTTTCTGATTTTTATCTCTCAATCTATGAAATATACACGAAAACTATGTTGGAACGAAACTTCTAGAACAATATGAGGAACATTATGCCGTACACTACACATTTTTATATCATATGGGTGGAAAATTCGTAGAACAAATACTTTAAAATTCTTCACTTTTTAAGATATCTTCGAGCATGAAACTAAGTCAAACTTCAATAAAATCACTTCGAATAGTCAACCTTTGGTTACAAAGTTGATACATAACACATTAAACTTTGCTATGAAAGTTGTTACAGCAGCTTTCGTTGTTTCAGTCTCTAGATACAAATATTGTAAGCCGTAAATTACCTTAAAAACATAAAATTAACTTGAAGCACCTCTAAATCATCACCGATTTTGCTGAAAATTTGCACAGAAGTTCAAATTAACATGACGAACAGTAATCACGGTTGACCCGTTACATTCCGAACATTTCGTTTAAAATGAACAGGTCTAATATATATATATATATACATATATATATATATATATATATATATATATATATATATATATGTGTGTGTGTGTGTGCGTGTGTGTGTGCGTCTTTCAACACCAATCCATTTAGATGTTGTTATGCAAAACCTGAAACTCGTAATATGATTTTGATATTTATTCGATATTTTAAACAATAATGCGATAAATGAGTTTAGGTTTTATACCACAAGCATACCAAAATAAGGAATCATACTTAATTAAGATTAATTAAATAAATATCTACGATTTAAGCGATGTTGCACTTAAATTTGCATGAAATGTTGTGTAAATTGACGCCAAATCTAGTGTTGAATTTGTGTGCATTATATATATTGTATACATTTATTCGAATTTTACATGGTCTGATTTTTCTGAACAAAATTCGATTTCTCTCCTATTAAAAATCAAATTGGAAAGGTACACATCAGCTTTTTTTCAGGTTGGTATTATATAGAAATACTCATGCTCAAACCTTTTCACTACATGATCATACCAGGCAACAAAAAGGTTAACTGAACCTATTACGTTTCATTGCGCTTGTATTGAAGATATCGGTAACGAGGTCATAACTGGCAGGTTTAGCAATGCATTCCATTTCTTTAACCTGAACAAAGTCACTATATTCCATGGGTTAAAGTTATAGATCCCAAATAGGAGCAATGGGCTCAACATAAGAACAGTGACCTTAATGTGATTCTGTTGTACCGTTGCAGGTTTAAAGTTGGACAGGCGAATAGAAGAAGCCGTACCTGCAGGACAACAACTACAAGAGCTCGGAATGAGACTTAGATGTGAAGACCTCGGATCGGATCAGGTACTCTATGTAGGCATGCATACTTATCAACCTTATTACCACTTTACCAAACGTAGCTTAAACGATTTTCCACAATGTTCATTATATTTATCTTAGTAACTTAGTTTTTCTCAAGTCAATTGTATCCCCAGCACCAAATTAAAGACAGTCTTTCGAACCTACACACGTATGACTAAACGCCGATCTTTAAGAAATGTATAATTTTACACAATCATATGGTTGTTATTGTTGGCAATTAAGCAAGTCGCGAAAGTCAATTCATCAGTGACGTAGACTAAAATGGGGCAAGAGCTGCAATCTTCTTCAATGTGCATGACATTTTTTCTTAAATTGTTCGTACATTAAGTAAAAGGGTTCCAACTGAGAACTTTTACCGCACTGCTGGTGTTCGAATTGAACTAAATTTTCACATTTCTATTTTAATTAAATTAATGCTTTCTAAATCAATAACGAACCAAACTTGAACCGTTCGTAATATTTAAGCATTTATTATTTATATCCACTCATCTGTTTTCTTTGTTCAAGTGTAGAAAGTTGAGAATTTTTAAGCGGTGAAAATTAGCATAGCACAAGTACAAATCTGATGTCTTTAATATGTTTGGTAGTATTATTGCACTACAGGATACACACAAAACATTAATTTTAATATCACATCAAAGTGGATGCACTTCAATCGTGTGTAATATTACTTGCAAAAAAGGACAACATTATTATTAATGCAGTGCATGAACTGACATTACGCTGCTTTTACAGCATTTATTTATTGTTGGGGACAGACAAATTACATGAGATTTTCAACATGATTGAACTGCATCCTCTTGGATGTAATATTAAAATTTATTTGTCATCAGTGACATTAAATCGCTTCCAAAAAATTTAATTTGTTATTATACCGCTTCCAAAAAAAAATGAATTGGTTATCATACTGCAAAAATCAACAATTACTTCTTGCGTGTTCACTCGGCTGTCGACACAAGCAGGCCACTCTCGATGTGTGTCACGCTATCGTCTGTTTACACGGAAGCAACCATTGTGTGGTCCTCCTCATTGTTCTTCATCAGCAGTTCTTTCGGTCGATGCGTCGTAGACTTTGGAAAGCAAGCGTTTAGTGATGAGTAGGGTAAACGCTCCTATAGTTGCGGTACGTTAGAAGCGTTAGGTTCCTATAGTTGTGTATGGAGACTCCGTACACAACTATAGAAACCTAACGCTTCTAACGTACTGCAACTATAGGAGCGTTTCCCCTATATGAGTGCAGTCCAAGCAGGAGAAAATAACTTATCAATACCAAATACAGGTAGGGGAAAAGTTGGCTTCGGCAATACCTTAAACTATTATCTTCAGAGAGTAAACAAAGTCCTAGAGCACTCAAATTTGACCAATAGTTGCTCTGAAACACAATGTATCCACATGCCAAAATTGAGCTCTCAAGGACGTTGTTTACCCCCTGACGATAATAGGTTAAGGTTTTTTTTTTTTTCCTTTATTTGAGAGATTTTTAGCCATAATAGGTTAAGGTATTCCCGAAGCCAACTTTTCCCCTATGATAGAAGCATAACTGGAAATCTGAATATGGCATTGACGAGCCTGACATAAGAGGTCAATTACCAAAAATAATACATCTAAAATGTTCTACGAATAGCAAACTAATAAATAATTTAGTTATTATAATAACTGACGGATAACAAGGTTGCAAAGACTCATTTCAGCTAAAACAATGTTTTTCTAAATTATGAAATAATTAGATGCCATGATCAAATTTTGAATTGGTAGGATACAAGAAGAGGTTGCAAAGAATGTGTTTGATATATTAAACCTGTTTATTTCACTTCATGAGAGTCACAATCAGCGATTTTTCACAAACTCACTCACTCACTCACTCACTCACTCAGCGATCAGCAAATCGCTGATTGTGACTCATAGAAAGCAAAATTTACAGGTTTTATGTTTCCAACACATACTTTGTAACCTCTTCTTGTAAGTTACAAGTAAAACATGCCATCATACCGTCTTTTGGTTTAATTATTCCGAAAAACATTATTTTAGCTGAAATGAGTCTTTGCAACCTTGACGGATAACAAACGCTTTTTTATGCGAGAATACCATAATTTGTTACTTAACAGGTCATTTAATACCAATCCAATAACTCTTTTAGGTATTATTGTCTAAAATCTGAAAGATCCCATATTGTTATTTTGTTATATTTTTGATATTTTTAAAAATATTTCGATATCTAAATAATATAAAAAAAGGTTTATACCACATACATACCAAAATAAGATATCATACCACATTAAGATATCCATATGATATCGGTTCTTCCTCGGGTGACCACGTTTTGTGTCCATTGCTGGAATGGAAGCGCTCTGCCCCCCGTTGGCGAAACTGCCATACAATTAAACCACTGGAAGCGGCTCTCGACCTGATGGATGAGCATTTTTGGATAGCGGAAGATATAGTGTTTATTGTGTTGTACCTTATGACTACAGTTTTAAGATGTTTTGTATAGTGAACAAGAAACCTCGGCTCAGTAAAGTTAATTCGATTGGGTCAAATACATTAGTGATCAAAAATAAAAATGTTTTTTCAAAGTAAATGACATGACTGATCACATGGTAGTCACTACTATTTTGATGATTAAACAATTTCATCCTGAATACTTGTCGTATTCTAGGTGCTGAAGAAATTTGCATGCCGAAAAACTTCAGAACTTCATTTTGACTAAAAAAATGTTTTATAAAATTATGGAATAATAAGATATTATGATGATATTTTGTATATGTAAGTCATAAGAAAAGATTGTAAAGTTTGTGTTTCACACATCAAACCTGCAAATTTAGCTTTGACAGAGTCACAATGAACGTTTTTCTGATCGCCTCTTTGCGAAGAGTGAAGAGCGAAGAGTGGGTGAGATAAATTACAAAATCGCTTATTGCGACTCTCATGTAGCAAAATTGGCAGGTATTTTGTATCAAACACAAACTTAACAATCTTTTCTTGTTATTTACATAATCAAAATATTTTCATAAAATCTTATTATTCCATAATTTCTTAAAACATTTTTTTTAGTCAAAATGAATGGAAGGCACCCTGCCTGCAGCCTCTGAAGTTTTTCGATTTGTATGCAGTTTATAAATTATTTAAGGCCCATTTATTCATCCTTGTTTTAATTGAATATCAAAACATGATATTAACTTCATGGACTATTACATAAAAAAGGACTCATACACTATTAAGCAAAATAATAAATAAAATAACGAAATTTTCTGAGAAAATATATACCTTATATTTTGGTGATTGTGGCTATATATTATATAGTCACAATCACTGATAATTTAATGTTCAGCGCATTCAAAAGTCTACTATACGGAATGTTTATACCAATATGGAAATGCTTCATAAATCACATTCGAAAGTTTCTAGGGGAATTCCTACTTCAACCTCGCAAAAACGTAAGATGAAAAAAAAGCACGTGCTTATCTGTGCAACAATTGGTAAATTACCATTTAAAAATATAATTCAATAACAACATTTTCAAAGTGATTTCGTAAGAGATAAACTAGCCTATGGCTTAAAATCTCTATAATAAAGAAAAGAAAAAAAAAAAGTGATTTCGAACACCTTAACTAAGAGAATACATATTTTTCAGATATTATTTTCATCGCTCAAGACGTATGTTGTTCAGCATATGGTTGATCAAATTTCAAATACGATATCCTTTTCTAGTTTTTTTTTGTGAACGGAAGATGTCGAACCTGATCTGAAAAATGGTAGCAGATCATATTAAAAATAAAAGGAGGGATTTCAAGTTAGAAAGTGCAAAATACATACATTTTAGATATACTCATAAGCAATACTTAGCAATACGCTTTAATCTGTCAAAGAACTGCTCAGTCAACTCTAACAGAAACAAATTCCGAATATTAACCATCGCGTAATATTTTCCCTCATTTAATTTTTAGCTTAACTCTGGATAAACAACGAAATTGTTTAAAAAATTATGCAACATTGCTGGTTTATCGAATTATGAAATATCGTGTAAATTTATGATAAATCTAGTGTTAACAACGTGTGCGCTATATATTGCAGATATTTACATGAATTTTCCAAACGTTCATTATACCGAAGGCCATGAGGCCGAATTATTTGCTCAACACTTGCAAAGAACATTTGCTAGTCTGAAAAAGAAAATATACAGCAAATATGAGAAGGATAAATAAGGCTAGCTTTTGACTCATAGCGCCTATAATAATTCCGTCGCAACTAAGGAAGAAGAAGAAAAAATAAAATAAAATTATTAGCCAAAGTAAACTATCAGTCAGTGAAATAGATTAGTGCGATAAAATAATAATCAGCTTTCGAAAGAAGGTTTTTTTTTTAATCTTTATTAAGGAGATTTTTAGCAAATTAAAAAAAAAGGAAAAAAATAATGTGAATGTTGGCACCATATTCACGAAAACAGTAAAACTTGACTGAACTGCGCATGTTTAAAAGAATGATAAATCCTTGGAAATTGTACATATTGATTCCTCCCCAAATTGCCAAAACTATAGTAATTAAGTCGCTACCAATATATAAAAACTTCATGTCACAAAGATTGGCGTGAGAAAGAATGAGCAGCTTTTGAAAGAAGGAAAATTAATGTCAAGTCGTCAAGTCGTGATGCCAAACACCACGGAAGCAGTAAATCTAAAAAATAACTGCTCATTTTCAACATGACGAAAAAAAGGAAATTGCTCAATACTTACATCTTTAAATTTTCAGGGTGTAAAAATGCACAAATGCACACAATGATTTACTGAACATTTCAGCTGATTTCATGGTACTTATTAACCTTTCTTCAGCAGCTTTTCCGATGATATATGGTACAATTACACTTCAAAATGGTGCAAAGCGGTGCATACTAAGGAGCATTTTCAAATGCTTAATGTACAGTTTTCTCTATTTTAGGGAGCGTACTTTAAATATTTACTGAGCATTTTAAGATTTTTAACGTATTTTGATCAATCATTTAAGGAGCAACCCGATTTTTTTTACTTATTAAGGAACACCAAATTAACCACATCAAAAACCAACAAAATTGCTATTTGGACTTTTTACTAACGAATATTTATGAAGATTTCTGTGTGACCGAATCACTAAATCCACTGTGGAAAAATGAAGCGTTTCACACAGCAATTGAATATTCTTTATTTGTGCATGAAAACCACAGACCCAACGACTGCGAATACGAAGAAGTCTTTGAATACAAATTAGCAGACTACGAAAAAATAAAATTTAAATGAAACAGTGTCAATTGCCAATTAATTTTAAGGAATGTAGGAAATGTCGAAATTGGTATAGACGCACACTAAGATTTTTTTACAGGAGTCAGTATTTTTTTACTGGGTTTTTGAATTACTGAAAAAGTCGGTAAAAATTGAAATCACCGTTATCCGTAAGGAATCAATGAAATCGACCAATTTTATTTTCTATCATTAAATGGGGTTAACAGAACTAAGTATGTACAATATCAGAACAAATTTTCTTATTAATAAATTTTCCACAGATTTTTAAACTTTTACCGAACAGTTCCGCAATTCAAAAACTCGGTAAAACCGTACTGACTCGATTAGTGTGCGTGTTCTACAAAATTTTAACAGAAATAATTTCGGAAGAAATTCCTTTGAAGAAAAAAAGACGCAACAGAAACACACAAAATCCAGTCTGGTATAACAGACAAATAAAAAAACTTGAAAAATCGGAAGCAAAAAGCACATAAAATTTATAAAAAACACAATAGTAGTAATAATTTATTAATTTATTTGGATATATGCGATCAACTGAATTTAGCTATCAGTACTGCATTTGAAGAATATAATGCAAAAACAAGACATGAAATAAAGTCCTGTCCAAAGAACTTCTTTAATTACGTAAAAACCAAATTAAAATCTGACAATTTTCCTTCAATAATGCAACTCGACGAAAATGTCGGTGATAGCTCGGAAAAAAACTGCAATCTATTTGCAAAATTTTTTCAAGAAATCTATACGACATTTTCTGAAGAAGATCGCGACCGCGATTATTTTGCATTTTTTCCAGAATATTCAAGGGACATTGGCCTCAATCAACTTCAAGTGCAGGATATTTTGCAGGCTTTAAAAAATTTAGACGCCTCAAAAGGTCCTGGACCTGACGGAATTCCTCCAGTTTTTATTAAATGTCTAGCAATGGAACTCACTGCTCCATTGTTCTGTATTTTTAATATGTCCCTGGAATCTGGAACCTTCCCAAAAACTTGGAAAAGCTCATTCCTAGTGCCTATCTTTAAATCTGGCCGAAAATCTGACGTACGTAATTATCGTGGTATAGCCATTATCTCTTGCATTCCTAAACTTTTCGAGGCAATTGTCAACGAAAAATTATTTCTCCAAATCAAAAATAGAATTACTGACATGCAACACGGCTTTTTCAAGGGTCGCTCGACCTCGACAAATTTACTTGAATTTATAGACTATTCATTGAATGCAATGGATAATGGAAACCACGTAGAAGCTCTCTATACAGACTTTAGCAAGGCATTTGACCGCAAAGACATACCAATGCTACTTTTTAAATTGCAAAAATTGGAATTGAGTCAGGGCTCCTAAAATGGGTTGAATCATATTTAACTAACCGCCAACAAATAATTAAATTCAACGGAAAGAAATCGAGCCCAATTCAAGTCACTTCAGGCGTCCCCCAAGGCTCTCATTTGGGACCTCTCCTTTTTATTCTATACGTAAACGACATATCTTACATTCTCAAAAAACTTAAATTGCTTATTTATGCCGACGACATGAAGCTCTTTTTGGAAATAAGAAATGAAGAAGACATCAATATATTCCGGAATGAAATACACATATTCTACATATGGTGCAAAAAAAGTCTACTAGAATTGAATGTAAAAAAATGTAACTTAATATCATTTAGCAGGAAAAGAACAACTTCAAATATTTCAATTGCACTAGGAAATCAAAATGTAGAAAAATGTGAAAGAGTTAGGGATTTAGGAATTATCTTAGACTCTAAACTAACTTTCATAGACCATTACAACACAATTATTCACAGGGCAAATAACATGCTAGGCTTTATCAAGCGCTTTTGCTATAACTTTCAGGACCCATACACAATTAAAACACTATATATTGCCTATGTGAGGTCAATACTGGAATATTGCAGTATTGTATGGTCTCCATTTTCAATCACGCACGAAGAAAGATTAGAATCAGTACAAAAACAATTTCTATTATACGCTCTTCGTAAATAAGGTTGGACTTCATTTCCTCTTCCATCATATGAAGCACGCTGTATGCTTATAAACATACAAACATTAAAAGAGCGTCGTGAATATGCAATGGTTTCATTTGTAAATGATATCGTTTCGCAGCGAATTGACTCAACAGAACTTTTATCAAAATTAAATTTCCATGTACCCACTCGGCAACTCCGAAATCGAAATTTATTTGCCATAAAACATCATCGCACAAATTATGCAAAATATGGGCCATTAAACCGCATGATGGTCTCTTACAATAAACACTGCGAAACCATTGACTTTACAATGTCTCGGCATAAACTAAAACAATTTATAAAAAATTATACTTTTAACCTTTTGTCCAAAGTTGACGAAATAAATAAATAAATTTAAGAAAACAAAACTGTATTCTAATATGTACTAGTCTACGTTGGTTGACGAAATAAATAAATAAATCGTCATTGTTTAATGATTCATTTACCTTTTTACCGTATATTATTTTATGAAACTTTTTTTTTAGACTTTTTTTTACTCTGAGCATTTGTATTACATCTGATCTGAATTTTAATGCATTTAGAAAAAAGTAACAATACATTACAGAAATAATCAAAAACTCTTAAAATTTTAATAAGTTATTCATAGAGAAGGATAAATATCCACCTGAGATTTTTTTTTCGAAATTCGAGGTAATGATACATAATGGCATTCGGAGTAGCGGGCCATTCGGGACAATGGGTTATTCGGGGTAATGGGTCATTCAGGGTAGTAATATTCCGGTTAATGGCATTCGGTGTAATGTCCTACATCGTTTCTGTAAAATTCTTCGAGATCTAGCGCACACGTAATTAACGCCAGATTTGGTGAAATGATATTGCATGTCAGTTTAAATGCAAAATATCGTAAATCGCCAATGTTGTTGTTGATATTTTACGCAACAATTGAAATTGAGATTGATTTCTGTATAAAGCATTCATGTCTCCATTACCGAGTGCAAAAACTGCTTGGAGGAGAAATGGCTTTAATGTTGGCCTATGGATCTAAAGATTGGGCCTATCGATAAAAACCTTATGTTTTTCAATTTTTCATAGAACGATGTGTCATCTGAATATTTTTGGTTGCAAATGAAAAATTGGCAAAAAATGCTTTCCTTAAAAATTTATGTACGGGCCAATATTAGGGACACTTAGGTCGACATTAGGTACATTATCTCTATTTGAAATGTTTGAAAGGTAAATTTTCGTTCATTTCGTTTTCCTATATATCTTATTTTAAATACGAAGCAAACCATTAACTCTTACTCACTTATTCACTTTTTTATGCAGGATGAGTACCTGGACGAAGAACAAATGATGATGGATAGGTCGCCCGACGAAATCGAATCCAACGATGGAGAACTGGACGAACTGGATTCCGATAATGATCTAGGCGATGATGTGATGAACACCACTAGTGACGGCGAACGAATTATTTACCCGTGGATGAAAAAAATTCACGTTGCTGGCGTTGGTGAGTAATATTTATGAAATTATACAAAAGTCATGCAGTAGTCTGGCGGCAAGATATGTTGGCTGCCACAAAAATCGCTTATCATGGTTTCGGATCAATAAAGCACTGTCTAAATGTGACATCAATTGCCTAACCGTACAATAACAAATGAACAACCCCCATGAAAATTTTAAAAGAAACCTGTCGTTAAGGAAGGAAGCGTAAATAAAACATAAAATAAATTACCTCTAATTTATCACTCTCAACAAATAACTGCCTGTAGCATCGCGAGTCAAAGTAGAAAATGAGAAGAGCGACGATGTGCTTTGATGTTTTCTGTTCGTGAAACCATGAAAAACGAATGTGAAGTTCGATAAACACCTATTGTCTCCTTCTTGAATAGCTTTGTACTTGACCTTGAAAATAGAAAACAAATAATTATCTATGACAATACAAAGTAATGAAGAGCGTGATTGATTCCATCCTTCGGAAAATTCACTCGAAACGGACACTCAATCTAGCTATAGACCACTTTGTAATTGTCTACATAACACTATTTATATCTGTGTAATATTTGAAATTAATAGAAGTTTTAAAATGAAGGGATTCCAAGGAAAAGTGAGCACCTTCTCTCTCTCTCTCTCTCTCTCTCATTATACAGGTATTCCACTAAGACGCCCACATTTATCAGGATCAAATTTTGCTCACAATCCTGTAAAACATAAAAAAAAAAAGTTTTTGAAACTTTGAACATAATTTGATGTATGCCATTTATTTAGAAGCTGTCCATAAAATGCGCGGCCATTTCAAGAGGGGAAGTAAAGTGTTGATAAGCATGTAAGGCTCATATTATCTTATGATAGTGGCCATGTCTGTTTTTCACTTGCACCCATTTCTCTCTGACCCCTTCAATTCTTATATGTCCATGTGTAGATATACATCAACTGTGCATAGTAGAGAGAAATGAAAACTTTCTGAACGGGAAGGGCAGAACTTCTTTTGACTGGTAACAGCATTTTAAAATTATACCAGCAGCCATACTCGTATTAAACCTTCTTTTTGCGTCAAAAGATGTTATCAAGTCTATCATTTAGAAAAGAGCTGTCAAAACTTTTTTGCTATTAACTTCCCATGAAGAATATAAATTGATGTGTTTGTGTCATTTTTCCGTTTTCATCATATTTGAAAGTATACTATTCTCGTAATCACAGCTGGTCGCTATAAGCAGATATAAGGATAAACATCTGCCAGCGCCAGTCAATCACCAAGCGTAGGCGGGGGAACAAAAACTTTTATTTCTATTTCGATGAATCTTCCCTCCTTAAAATAAACATCTAAGTAAAATAGGAGATTATTCTTGTTTTCTTTAAGCATTGATTTGCAAGAAAATTCTTCCACTATTTAAAATCAAACAATTCAACAGATCTGGAGTAAATTTATTTTGGCCCCATAGGAATAAAAAAAAAAAAAACATCAACCGTTTGGTTTTACCGAGTCATCCCGTATAATAAGAAAACATATGAGAACATGGCAGTCAGAAAAATGAAGGTGCTGCTTATTCGTGAAGAGAACAAGAGATATGTTGATTGGAGCGATGATTGCGCTATGATTATATCCTCAACGAGTTGCTGCTGCTGTCAAAATGAAATAAGCCTCATACTACTGTACAACTACAGCATGAAAGTATTGATAGTTTTGCTAACGGAATTAAAAATGTTTTTAGTTTTCCTATTATGCGTGTTTGCATATAATGTTGTATTCGTCATTTAAGCCCACTATATTAATCAATATAGGCAGTGCGGGAATCTTCTAAAAGATGCAATTTACTGATGCCTTCAGTGATTTAGGGCAACATTTCCCAAATCAATAAAAATTATTCTCATTTTTTTTTTCAATTTTCATAATAGAGGAATTCGTAAATCCCAAGAATAAAGAAACACTGCTTTACCAACACTGTAATAGTGTGTTGCTACGACGCAGCTGTTGAATACGACAGAGTGCGCAAAACTGCACGGTCATTGCAAATGCACCCAGAGCATTGAATGAAACAGCAAGTCATTTTCATCGATATCGGTTGACTAGTAGCTGTTTAAGCTCAGTAATGGAAATAACATTGCTATACGAGCGGCAATAAAAATAGACAAGTATGCCAAGGTGACCGATCCACATTGCATGTGCGAAGGGTCTGTGCATTATATATCCGGAGATTATCACCTGAAAGAAAACGAAAATGAATGCATACGAGTTCCTTGACGGAAATACAGCATTTTTTTGCGCAAGCAAAGATAAATGTGAACTAAAATGGATGTTAAATCTGGACTGAGGTATCTGCATGTCTTAACAATTGTAACAACAATTAAAGTTAAAAAAGACATGTTCCTCAAGACATAAATATTAAGTTGAAATATAGCGGCGCCGGTGGTGTAGTGGTAAGCGTGATTACCTCTCACCCCAGCAGGCCTGGGTTCAATCCCAATCGGCGCCGCCGGGATGTTCTGAGGCATAACGTCTCTGATCACTAAACTAAAGCTACCCGGTTCATAAGTTGATGGTGGGTCGATAGGTTTGGTCCAGGTGTGAGAGCTGCCTCACTGGCGTCGGTAGCATTGCTGCTCAGCAAGATCGACGGAAAACAATACAAGGAAAAAAAATTGAAGTATGTAGAATCTTTTTCATACTTTGGAAATGGCTCTTAATTATCAATTTCGGAAGTGCTTGAAGAACACTAAATTGACTTAATGTGTAATGTGTTGAGATGTAATACTTTATTCATAAGATAACCTTACAATTAAAAAAAAACTTAAATCCAGTTTGTGTAGGCTGTAAAAATATTATCTACTAGTAAACATTTCCATTATTTGTGATTTTTATAGCCAAACTTCAACTTTCATTTAATGCCGTAGGATTCTGCACATTATTTTATTTTATGCTTGATAAATATAAAGGTGGACGGTAAAAATTCTTTACGCTTCAGTAGATGATTCCTTCATGAGAAAAAAAATGGACAGAAATATTCCTGAAACGATTGGTTACTCATAGGAGATAAGGAAGCTGTCAGATGTTTTTCATGTCAATCAAGCAGAGCTTTGCGTGTCACTCAAAATGAGAAGAATCAGACATTCAGCATACAGTTTGCGATTACATAGAAATTCGTACTTCTTAGAGATCTATGATGGCAGAAAATTCGTTCATCAAACAACGTCGAGCGAATCGTACAAAAAGTGCTAATATCAATTCTCTACAGTTTGCAGACAGCAACGCCATTTATATTCATCTTCCTTTCTTTCTTTTAGCAAACGGCTCATACCAACCAGGAATGGAACCGAAACGCCAACGTACTGCCTACACTAGACATCAAATTTTAGAATTGGAGAAAGAGTTCCATTACAACCGCTATCTTACTCGTCGACGGCGGATAGAAATAGCCCACACACTGGTTCTGTCTGAGCGTCAGATTAAAATATGGTTTCAAAATCGGCGGATGAAGTGGAAAAAAGATAACAAACTTCCCAATACGAAAAATGTTCGAAAGAAAAACGGCGATCAAGGTAAAAACAACACCGCATCAAACACAACGGGCGGTCCCGGGAAAAAAGGTCGCAAAGCGAACTCGTCAAGTTTAACAAACGCGAAGAAGCAAATGAGTCTTCAAAACGAAGTAAGTATATTGTGAACCCACCTATGTATATCGAAGGTAAATGAAGAGCCTTATAATGATTTCCAATCAAACAGTGTCTTCGCACAGAGAGCCTTGAAAGCATGACGGACATCCATAATTCATTGAATGGAAGTAATCTTGCTTCAGTTCCTTATATTTCTGCATCAGACGTAACCGGAGTGTTGACCACAAATACCAACAACAATAATATCAACCAAGACTCGTCAACGTCTCACGGTCAACAGCAGTCGTCACTCTTAAGCAACTCAACGGTGGCCAATAATGTAAATAACGCAGTTGCGCATTCCATTAGTATTAAAAATGATTATGATCTCACTGCTCTCTAGGATAACATGTAGTGTAAGAACTGCTCAGATCTAATTTATTAATATAAATCCACCGAAAATCTAGACCATTTAAAAATCTATCCGAAAGATGCACTTTAAAAAGTCACTAATGAGTAATATAATGTAATCTAAATTATCTTAGTTATAATCTATTTTTTTTTTATTTTGAATAAAAGTCCTAAACAGTTTGTTCACATTTCGGTTTAATTACAATAACATTAAACTGGAATGAGTTAAGCAATAAAATCGAATGAAACACATTTGTGTAAGATCAGTGCACTATTTTAAAAAAATATAATTCACAATCGCACAAGTTGTCCAATAAAAGCCAAGGAAGCATAAAAACAACAACAACATGCTAAGAAACTTGTTGAAAATTGAAGCAACAAACTGAAAAAGATGTCGATCAATCGATTTTTTGAAAAAAAAAAAAACAAAACAACAAAATGTTCCGACTATCCCTGTTTCCAAAAGGGTAAACTTTTTGGTTAAACTTATGCCATTTTAATGTAATTACAACAAAAATTCGGATGAAACAGTGATGTAGATTTAAGACTCAAGCATTGTAAACACCTGTACAAACATTAGTATTTAATATGATAGGTAATATTTTATATTCGATAATGCCACAATAGAGTTTCGTGCCATTATTTTTGTACAAGTGATTTAGTTTGCCATGTTTGTCACACTAATGCTAGATTGAACATAAGAACTTGATTGTGAGTAGAATATCCTAAGAAATAATTATAAGTAATATGAATTCAAATACACGATTTTTGCATGACGCATCCTGTTTAATTTTTTTCTATCACCGCCCTCAAATAAACTAGCTAAGCTTCAAAAGTAAGTAAAGAAACGTTCAATCTTATTCCCAGAAAAGGATTAGCTTCTGAATTTTACGTACCTACTCATAAACAAATAAAGAGTAATGCACAGTGGGGGATGATCACTTGGGTAGATATCCTCAATAGATCTCAGCACACTTCATAAAAGGATTAACATACCCTTCCTTGCTACTTTATGAGCACCTTCGGGAACATCAAATAGAACAAAATCTAACGGCAGGTAATATCTACTGGTAATAGTTTCTTAAAGAGTTAATCTCATCAACTAAACCGCCCATTCAGCAACCCTTGCGTTGACAAAACATGTTTCTCTTTTGCACAGCATTTTTTTTTGCATCAAATAACAAATCTGGCGCTGTCCACCATCCTGCATCTATAATGTTTTCATTTATCTATGTGTTTTTAATGCTCGATGATGATGATGATGATGATGATGATGATGATGATGATGATGATGATGATGATGATGATGATGATGATGATGATGATGATGATAATGATGATGATAATGATTATTATGATTCCTTCGGGTTTCACAGAGTATTTTTTTAACAAGATCTGTAATTCCACCATTTTCCCCTATTATCAACAACTTGTGATTACAACCCACTGTAAAAAAAAAACTAATGCTCAAAGGATATAGGATTACACAAAACAAATTGAGCGCTACCGCATAAAAAATATTAAAAAAAAACCATCAACTCTCAATATGCTTCGTAAATTTATGTTTCTTACGAGAAATGGCTAGTAGTACTTACAACAGCCTGTATCAATCAAACAAGCTAACAACAGCTAACAAAACATTCAAACTTTTCCTTCTTTATGAATATTAAAGTTGATGAGTTTCTGCTAACTTTCTGTAATGTATTGTTAATTTCTTTTCAAAATGCCATACAGTTGAGACCGGTTATAAGACAACTGCTGAAGTACAAAAAGTCGAAAGGACGAAAGGTTGATTTAATAATATACTGAGTGAAGCAAACAAATTTAATTTAATCGCAAATTGAGTAATCAAACTAATATCCTCAAAATAATGTATCTCTTATGAAGATCTGAGTCTGTTGAATTTTCATTGTAGCCGTTAACGCAGACGATATCGAAGGTTATCTATTAACAACCCTGTTGGAGATGACTTACTTACCTATCAATCAGGGTAAGGCCTTGATGTCCTCTCCTGTCCGAAGAAGTCGTTTCCACTCTACTCGATCCATAGCCGCACGACGGCAGCCTTGTAGTCTGCGAAGGGTCCGCAGGTCCCCTTCTACTTGGAAGATCCACCTTGGCTGATGCGCACCTCTTCTTCTTGTTCCAGTTGGGCCGCTTTCGAGACCCATTTTCACTGGGTCGTCGTCCGGTATTATTATGACGTGCCCAGCCCACCGTAGTCGCCCAATTTATGCAGTGTTGGCGATGGATGGTTCTACCAGTAGCTGGTGCAATTCGTGATTTATTAGCCTTCTCCAAGTTCCGTCTTCCTTTGCCATAGATGGACCTTAACGGAAAGTTCGAAAACACCAAGTTGTTGGTCGTCCACGAGCATAGTCCAGATCTCGTGGCCGTAGAGGACCACCGGTTTTATCAGCGTCTTGTAGATAGTCAACTTCGTGGTCCAGCTAATTTTATTCGACTGGAGTGACCTCCGGAATCCACATTGTTAGAGATTACACCTTCTTTTAGACATGAGCAGTTCTTTGACAGATACATGCTGTTGAAGAATCTTATTGAAATACTCGTATGCCATTTATATCTCTCTTAGAGTTGACTGCTTTTTTAAAACATGAACATGAACATGAAGTTCTTTAACAGATAAATACTTTTGGACAATCTAACTGAACTGAATGGTCACTAGACCGAATGGTCCTAGTAGAATGCGAGCAAAGGTCAATTTTGAGGAAGGCACGAATCGGGTTGATCTTCTCCTTTACCAAACTACCCTGTTGGGGAGGGATGGTGAGTGGTATCTCACCTGCCACTACTGGCAAAAGAGATGATCGCCGATTTTCTCACGTACCTTTTTTTTATTGATGATGATGGTCCTACCTCTTACCCCTACAAAGGTTTGAGCTGGACGATTTATCTTTAAGATAATTAAATATGACATTTTAACCAGGTTGGCAAACAAAATCAAACTGGTTTCAGTTACAGATATAAATTCCCTCTAGAGTTTACAGTTGCTTCACAGCGATATAAATGTGGAAAAGCTCAGGCGTCCACCTCTTAGTTCGCCTTTTTGTCCACCTAAAATATTCATAAGTATTGCAAGCAATCAAGAGTTAATGAACAATCAACAAAGCATCCTATTACACTAGCAACCCCGCAATCTGATGCTATCATAATTTTCAGCAATGTCAGGAATGCTCACGAACCCCTAACATTTGCCAGAAAACTTACTACTAACTCAAGGTATCTTTCAAATAAGCTTCAAAATCGCATTTTTTTTATCAAATGTTAAATTCAGTCCTCTACATCCGTAATACGCGCGCGAGGCTCAAACCTTTGTAGACTACTATTTTTTTACTACTACTATTAAATCAAATATCAAAAATCCATCATCACCATCGTAGCGAACAAAATAGTTTTTGCAGTACTACAATAATTATTAAAAAGTCGTTATAACAGCTATCCATGCAAAATAATCCGTTAAATATAACTTCGTCAAGATACATAATTTGTCAATTCATAAAAAAAAATCACTGGATAACCGTTCAAAAGACAGTTTTAACGTGTGAAATGCAATGTCTCTTAAATTCTGCTAATGCTGTTGAACGTTTAATGTGTCTAGGCATCGAATTGAAAACATTTATTCCTTTAAAAAATAATGAATTCTGTGAAGCACAAGTCAAGAAATGTGGTGTTCTTATTTCATCCGCGTTTCTAGTATTATATCTATGATAGTCACTTCCCCTTTCAATTCGATCACACAAATATCGAGGCAGCAAACCGTTAACTACTTTAAAAATGAACACCATAGTCAAATATACAATTCTTTGCTTCACCGACAACCATTGTAAGGCGTCTAGCATCAAAGTTGAGGAAGTGAATCTATTACATCTCAAAATCAAACGCATTATTTTATTCGATGTGCGGAAACTATATCGGAGCGTGTACTGCATGTCGGATGATATTCGTAAATGACTAAATGTCGTCTGCCCAGTGTGTGTGGCCTTTCTTGAGCGTCACTCGAATGGCTGTGGTGATGACCATGTTAACACGTTTCGTGTTGTTGGCCTGAGAATGGTAGCCAGCGTCAACCAGCCACTCACGTGATAGGCTTCCAGTAATTCCTGGAACCTTTTTGAGACGAATTTCTGGAACTCCGAAGAGACGGAAAATTAGGTTTTTCACGAAGGTTTCGTGGTTACCAAGTCTATCCGGGATAGAAATCCCGAAGCTGAAATTTGACCAACGTAGTCCAAACTGCCACGGATTTTGACTGGCTTTTGCGATCCCATGGGTGGAACTACGTTTACGTTACCCGACTTACTAACCTGACTCTTCAGGTATTCCCTGCAGAACTTTTTCACTTCCCCGTTCATTTTAAGCCTTCAGCTTTGTTGCTTTACGGCGGCCAAAATGTGCCTTATCGTGCTTTGGTTGGGTAATGCTTCCACTCAAACCTCAGGTCACTCAACCAGTATCCCACCTTAATATAAAGGAACACTTTCCCATCCGCACATTGAACATTCTTGTAGGGTAGAACAGGGGACAAATGCACCCCGGGAAAACACCCAATTTGGTTTTTCTTAGCTATTCCACTCTTAATTCTAGGATTTATTGTTCCGAAATGCTAGTTCGAGTACTAAACTAGCACTGTGACTTGTCAAATTTATGAATTAAGAACAGGAATGCTATGAAAATCGCATCAGCCGTTTTGTCCCGGGCGGTGTGCATTTTGGACTTCTATTCCTTTTACTCCGTTTCCAGAACTCGGAGTTCCCATCTCTGCAACAGCCAGTTTCCACTCCTACGTTGAATAACCAAGGCTTCGCGCGTCGGTCACGACATGGAACTTTGTCCCCTCGTTGATAGAAGTGTTGGATGATAGCTGACAACACTCCTTAAAATTCTTTCACCACCGCTGTATAACGTTGCTGCGTCCTGTTCAGTTTCTTACTGAAATAGCTTATTATCCGTGTCTCTCTGCTCTCTTGGTGCTGTAATAAAGCTGCCTCCACTGCTCGGTCTGACGCATCTGGTTTGAAGGTGAAGGATTTAGGGAAATCAGGATTTCCTCAAATTGGTG